GATGAATTGCGTGCAAGTGTGGTTGGCGTTTGAGCAATTGCGATGTGCTATTTAGTTACTATTACTGCATTACCATGTTATGACTAACGTGCAGTGTTAGCATGGGTTCGATGGTGAGGTAAGTATAAGGATGCTATTTTATTTTATATGTTATGGGGTAGATGTAGATTGCATGTACGACTTGTCTGGGTACGCATTGGCCTACGTGGGGTATAGGGGGTTGCTTATTGAGACTCGTTCTCATGGTTATTATATAACCACTTTCAGATCCGCGACCGTGATCGACTTGAAGATGCCGCCAGAGTACTACAGGGATTGAAGGATAGATCAATTTACCCTGTCTTTTGAGTATATTTTTGTAGAGGAGATAGGCTTGTAAACCACCGCCCCTTTTGAAAATTGTGGTTTTTAAATTGGTAGCCTGGATTCTTGTTTTGTATTAATGATCGCTTTATGAAATTATTGTTTCGTGCTATCCTTTTGTCATCTTGTTAGTTGTCTGGGTTGTTTTATTTTGCTTCCGCTTGCGTAGTTCGTTTGGGTCGGCGACGCGTCCTGGGACGTCGCTTTCAATACGACCGTGGAAGGGGTGTCGCGAGCCCGTTGGGGTTCGGGGCGTGACATGTTATGTGACAATCACAGAAACAAAGTGTAGTGTCACGTGGTGAGCATAGGAATGAAGACGCTGCTAGATCTAGCTTTAACTATATATCATCGATGAATGGGGGATATAAATACTTTCACAATGTAATTGCATAAAAATTAATGAACTTTAATTCTTTTTTTAAGTCATGCAAAGACATTGAAGCCAAACTTTGAGAAACAATCGGAAGAAAATAAAACTTTCATGTACTCAATTCAAAATCTGGCTCTATCTCTATATTAAGAAACTAGTGGTATGCCCCTACTGGATCACTTATATTGATTTAGTTGTGCACACATTACTGGCAAAGTTCCTAATAAATACTCTATTATGTCCACTTAGAAGTGCTACTCCTTAAGAAATGATTTAAGCAATTAACAATGACTTGTTTTACAGAAAGGTGCATTCAAACCTTTGACTGCGCTAATTTTATTGATGCTGGACCAACCCCCGCCGTTTATGTATGTATATTGGGTAAGGTTCGTCATATTTTTGTTTCCCTTTTGTTCTTTCACTATGCAATTTTTCTGTAAAATAAAAAAGTTTATATGTAAACAGCCGACAGCAAATTGCATTTGAGTATCTTTTTTTGGTCGCTAATTTTGAGTATCTTCACTAGGTAGATTTGATCTGACTTTGAAATATATCTATGTCGATACTTAGAGATTAGAAAGTATGTAAACTTCATCTATAATATTATATAAGGTAAAGATGATCTCCTACTTTAAAAGATATCAATCTTTTTCTTTTATATTCCTTCCATCAATTATCTTCAATTACTTATTTTACAGATATTATACCACGGACAAATACATGAAATTGATTATTTATTTGTTATCTCTCACATATTTCAGTATTAAAATTTGAATGTTTAAATGATGCAATGACCTTCATAAATAAATTTCAAATCTTGAAATATCTTTCTCTTTCGACGTATATCTAGAAAATTTCTTTGTATTGTGTATTTTATAAAAATGTTTTTTTTTTGGTAAGGAAATTTTTTTTTATAAAAATGTATTTTATAAAAATGTTTCCATTGAGTATTTCTAATAAAGTTGTTCGCTTAATTTTTCAAATGCCAATTTTGCTGCACGTAAAAATATTTCTAACCCAAGAAGTTAGGATCCTTTTGAAAGAAAAGAGAGACGTGGTTTCTACAACATAGGAACACCACTTCTTTTAGTGTACTAGTACATATAATACGCATATACACATACAAATGAAGTAGATATTAAAAAGGTCTAAACGCTCACCTTAAATTGTTTCACCACTCTTGTGATATTGCCTCCACTCACATTAAGTCCAACCAATTTATTTGGACCAAAGGAAAATTCTGGAATTTGGTGAGCACATTCAGGCCATTCAAACCATCTAAGCGCATTAGGAAGACATATAGGACCTTGGAAAGAACCATCCACATTGTGCAAGATGAGCAATCTCAGCCTTCTCATTTTTGTGAAAGCATCAGGACGAATATACATCTCTGTCGGCGTAGGTAGCTTCAACACTATGGCTTTTATAGCACAATCTCCCTGTATATACAAGCACATATAGGTTATGCCTATTCAGTAATTAGAGTAAAAAATAAGGAGCAAAATTTTGACTGTATTCGCGAGTCTTACAATGTCACGTGAAAGAACATCGAGAACATCGTCATACTGCCATAATCTGCTGCGTCTTCCAGGATCATCTCGACATTCTCGGTTCACAATATCTATACCCATTGCTTGAATCAAGTCATGCATTTTTAGGCTTCCATACTCAATGCTTATTAAGGACCTCTTAATGAGTATATCTAATCCTACAGCTGTATGTAGATCACAACTGTCGAGGACTTTCTTTGTGTACTCTCTAGCCTGCCCCTTAAAGAAGCAGGCAATATGGAGAAAGATTTCTTTCTCATTTTCGTCTAGTCCATCATAACTTACTTTCAGCACATCATTAATGGTTTTGTCAGGAATCCTAGAAAGTTTCTTTAATGTACTTTCCCATATATCTTCTGTTGTACCATATAATAAGGAACCTAGCACCACAAGTGCTAAAGGAAGGCCTTTAGCATGATTCAGAACATTCTCCACTAGATGTGTCCTAGTTTCTAATTTTTTGTGTCTCGGAAAAGCATGATTCCTAAGCAGCTCATGAGCTTCCCTGTAACCCAATTGTTTAACTTCATACACATGATCTTGATCTATCCCATGACAAGTTAGCAATTGTTTATCTCTTGTAGTAACAATGATCCTACTTCCATCACCGAACCAGTTGCCTTCTCCTGCTAAAGCATCTAATTGGCACAAGTCATCTACGTCATCAATGAGGAGGAGAACTTTTTTGCGACCAAGTCTGTGTTGTATGATATTAATACCTTCATCAACATTGGACACTTCTAATCTTTGTTGCAGTAATAATATATCATTTAGGAACATTTCTTGCAAGGTAACTAAACCCCGGAAACCTTTTGAAGTTTCTTGAACATCTGCTAGAAAACATGAACCCTCAAATTGTCTAAACATAGCATTGTAAAGGGCTTTTGCTAAAGTTGTCTTGCCTATGCCTCCCGGTCCCCATAATCCCACCATGACAACATCATCATTAGAGTCAAGGTTGAACATTGATTTCAACTTAACCACTCGGGACTCTATCCCAACCGGATGCTTAGCAACTTGCAAATGTGTTCGGTTTAGGTGAATGGAGATCTTCTTCACAATGCTTTGTATAAGCTCTGACTCATCTCTGACAAAATCAGAAAAAGAAGTTGTAGAATCATTTTAGCAATTTGAATAAGCAAATAACGAGCAATTGCTAGTTAATGATGACAAAGCAGTGCGTCACAGTTTCAGATACAGCCAAAACAATATGTATTTCCACCGAGTCAAATTTGAACTACGAGAGCTCCACACCAATCAAAACATATATCTATCTACTTAAGTGATTCATATTCTTGTGATTTAGACATGACGATTCACTTATTTTTCTTTTTGACCATCATACGTAATTTATTTCTAAGTTTAGTCAAAAAGAGCCATTTAGGACTTTGAATGATGGTTAATATTTTGATTCCAAAAGTATTAAATTCCCCGAAGCACGATGTCATTTCTTTACATGGCCTACACACACTAATCATCTCGTATGAAACATTGCGAACTTCCTTATTCCTTCCAAACAAATGGGGTAAGTGCAATAACACTACTTAACATATTGTGCATTTGTCAATCAAGTTTTAACATTTTATTTTGATCAAATGAGTTAGGAAAATTTTCAGCCGATGAAGTGCTAGTGTCAATTTTTTATTATTGAAAAAGTTACGCGTGTGTTCTATGGATAGCCACATGTGATTTTTCGAACTTAAAATGCCACTTGTGACAAGTTTAGGACTCAGTTGACCAAAATCGAAAAGTTAGAGAACTCAATTGACCAAAATGAGACATGAAGACCTCAAATAGTCCACAGAGAAAATGTTTAGAACTTTTATTACACTTTTAGGAGGGCAACAACGATCCAAAAGATTCTTTACCAAAAAAAAATACAACGATCCAAAAGAAAGAGCTACAGACGTTACCCGAATGAAACAGGGCTTAGCAAAAGCTAAAGGCATAATTCTATTGTTTTGATGGCCAAAAATAGGTTTATTTTCGTGCCAGTGAATTTCAATAAATATTAGTAAGTGTCAAAAAAATGTCGGTGAAAAAAAGTTCAGTGACTTTTCTTTCACATAACTTACCAACAATTTTTTGAAATCATCAAATTCTTTTTATAATTTGCACATGACCCATTTTGTACTAAGTTACAAAATTTGATTTGCATAACTCATGGCCTCAAATTTACTAACTTTTATTTGAAATTACTAACACAAATTAGAGTAACTTACCATCTTTGATCATATTAAATAAACCTACTAGTTTTGGATTACCAACTTTCATTGAAGCTACTTACCAATATTTACTTGTTCTTTTAATTTGCCAACTTTTCTATTGGGTTACTAGCTCTCATTTGAATTACTTACTAACTCATTTTTTAAATTGTCAACCTTAATTAGACCGACTTACCAATTTTTCTTCGATTAACAATTCTTGTTTGTGTTACTTGCCAAGTTTATTTTTTTAATTATCAATTTTTCTTATCTTTTGCAGATTTTTATTTATCTTTCTTAACTACACTTAGATTCACCAATTCTTTTATGAAATTACTAACTTAAACTTAAGAGACTTAGGAATTTCCAGGAATCATAAGATGAAGCATCTATACATATACTTACAATCATGTGTGCATCGATTTATTTATTTATCTAATTTTTAAAAATGATCTTTATATTTACTTGTAAAGATTACTTTTTTTACAGAAAATATGGACTCCACCGTACTTACCCATCATTCAAATGCCATCCGGACAAGTTACCAACATCAAAAAGAGCTTTCTTCCATCTCTTCACTTCCTCCGAATCCTTCCCAAACGTGGACTCATGCTTAGCCAGAGCTCTTCGATAACTCTCTCTGCCGCCTCTCACTTCTCTTGGGTCCACGTCATAAAACACTGGTAGAACGGTGAGCTTCTTTTGCTCCTTGCATTCCATAATCCTCGCCACCTCTTCCAAGCACCACCATGAGGACGCATAGTCCTCGGAGAAAATGATGACTGCAATGCACGATTCTTCAATGGCCTTCATAAGCGTTGTCGATATATGGTCTCCCTTTCTCAATTCCTCGCTATCACGAAAAGTGTATATTCCATTCTGGTCCAAAGCTTTGTAGAGATGACCGAGGAAAGTTTTACGCACGTCCGCACCTCTGAAACTCAAGAAGACGTCGTAAATTTTTTCGGGTTTTGATGAAGAAGCCATTTGGACGATGGAGCTCAACAATCGGAAACAATCGAAAACGACTATCAGCCGAAAATTTGAAACTGTGTTTTCAGGTAGTTCATCCACCACTTGATTGTCTTGTTGATTTATTCTCGCGCTAGAGGTGAGAGATGCATGACTTTTTTTCGGGTAGGGTGAGCAAAGAATAATATTAGAAATTAGGAAAATGAAGACCGCGTACGACCGCGTGACTCAGGCTCCTTTGTGGCCGACAAAAGTAGGGACTAGTAATAGATCACAAACCGACAAACAACTTTCGTGGTCTTCCTCGAAATTTCATCCCTAACGACCGTGAAGTACTAGTCGAGAGATATATAATTACACGCACTATCAAGTGTGGACAAATCACAAACCGATTCTCTGATGGACACAAGCTTCTTTGTGGCCGACAAAAGTAGTGGAGAAACGACTTTGGGGTGGTGGACTCTTGTGATCTGATCATAGGCTCACTAATCAGAAAAACTTTGCTGGCTTCCTCGAAATGGAAATGGCATCCGTCTCTTTGTTGGAGGATTTGTGTTTCATATATTAAAATCTGCGAGGGATTTGCAGTCTTAAAAAAAGAAGCAGTATGTATTCCCATACTGCACGCGATCAAGCAATCAAGTTGATGTTCAAGCCTTGTGAAAATTCAGGCTTCGTGCATATTAAATATATACGACATGGCATAAAGTTTTGTATTGGTTTTGATTGAAAAAAAATTTCATTAGAGTTGTCTCCATATGTGGTGTTTAAATAGTTTACGTTTGCTTTATCACATAATTCAAATCTTTTGGAGATTGAAATTCCAAATAAGAAAAGCACTGTGGATTCATGTAGAAAAATGATTAATCATGCATAATGTCTTATGCTGAATTATGTGGATCAACAATGTTGACAATCTATAGTTTTTACTCCCGATTATATTTAAATTCTCCATTCTCAATCATAGAAAAGTAATGGTTAAGAAGACAAATCAGACTTATATAAAAGTGACACGTATTGATACTTTATAAATGGATATGCTGTTTTAATTAGCTTATTAAATAAATGAGCCAGCAGCAGCTCATCCACAATTGTTTGTTTTTTTGTTGAGAAAACGCTAAGATGCTTTCAAAGCATCGTGTCATCAACCACCAAATTAATTATTCAATATCAAGTGTTATGAATTTTTGACTTTCCTCTAAAGCAAAATATTATGAACGAATAATTATGTGGTGGTTTGGGAACACCTAACCTTCTCTCTGTTGGCGCATGCTGCAATTGTTCTATTGCTTCAATATGGCTAAGGAGCTTGGTTGATTGTAATGTATAACCTCTCATCAATAGTGCCACTTGACTTATATTTTGGTGATATATGCCACTAACCCAATGTGCTCTTGAGAAGTGGTTTTAGAACTGAAAGCTGGAGTCTACTATATTCAACAGTTCCAAGTTCAATTTATCTTCTTTTCTCTTTTGGCACCGAAAGAAAAGAAGAGTGACGACTTTTAAGTCAAGCCCGTGAAATTTTTTCAAAGTGGGAGGAAAAAGTCTCTAGCTTTATAGTTAGAGGAACCATGCTTGAAGATAGTCATGAAGAACGCGCATTTATTTCTCTTCAAATTCTCTTAATTATTATGTGTGCAATTGTCACAGCATCAATTACTAGTACGATAGTTGTTATGTGACATCCTGAAAATCAGTCCATTTGGAATTATAAAATACTGAGTTTTATAAATGTACTCGTAGTTAGTTCTCACCCGGAACTGATCATTCCTGGGATACTAACCATTAGGGAAATGCTAATTAGGGATTTAAATTCGTACGACTAAAAGAAAATTCGATCGTGAATTAAATTTCGACCATGAAATCGTCGAGGTGATATTTTGAGCCACTGTTGACCGATCCAAGGATGGCTAGGGGTTAATTCGCCACTGTAATAGTAATGGATCGCGGGTGATTCCGCCGGACCGCGAAATGACTTGACGAATTATTCTGAACCTATACCGAACGATCGTACCCCTCGGATCTAGTAATTGATCCTCGCAATTTTAATGACAATCGAAGTCGTTGCGACCCGAATAAATTTGCACGTGACCTGAATTATTGTCAGTCACGGGTCGAATATGCGAATTTCCCCAACAAGCCGCCCGTTAGTTTGAGAAACGCTCGAGTTGCGTTTGATAAAATTTGATTATTTAGTTTAGCCCAAATCGGACAGCGGAAAAATTTGGAAGTCACAACGGGACGTTAGGACGACGTTGCGGATGGAACGTGCAATTTTGGATGTGCTCGAATCCTTCAGAAAAGTTTGATTTCGGCGAGAAACGGAGAAAGTGACCATTTTACCCTTGGAATTTATTAAAGGGTTAATTTTAAAGGGCAAGGGCATTTTGGTAATTTTTCCCTAAAAGTTGGAAAAGACAATTTTGCCCTTGGACTTTTTGAGAAATTACAAGAGTGCCCTTGGATATTTTTGGTAAGATTCGATCTGGGCCGTCGGTTTCAAGATTAGATCGAATCTGGACCGTTGGATCAAAAAGATTAGACGAGGGCGTTTTGGTAATTTGCCAAAGTGAGTCAAAACTCACTATTTAGGTCCAATGAACTTTCTCTCTCCTCTCTCTCTCTCTCCCCCTTCCCATTCGGCTTCCCCCTCCACCGTGAAACCCCCCCGTGCTCTCTCTCTCTCCTTGCCGATCGCCGCCGAACCATCACTGCCGGTCTCCGCCACCGCGCCGTCCACCGCCACGCCGTCGCCGATCCGCCGCTCCCGACCCCCACGCCGTCCGTCTCTCTCTCTCCTCCCCGTGTGGCCGTGAGCCTTGCCGGTCACGCCCAAGCCGCGCCGTCGCCGCCCAAGTCGATCGCCGCCCGCCGAGAGCCGTACACCGTCGCCGCCGTTCCCGATTAAGTGCCGCCGCTTTCCGTTCTAGCCGCGATAGTCTAGAACGCGGGTAAGTCGCGCTCTAAACCCAACTTAGGACTTCGGGTATCGACGGGCGATTTTTGGGTGAAATCGGGTATAAGTTAAGTGCGGAATTGCATGATTTAGGAGTGGAATTATGTGGCGGGCCTTAGGATTGAATTCGGACAATTTTTATTGGAAATTTGAGGAAAACAGTGAGCTGTGGACTACTGTTCATGGGGCTGTGATGGGCCGATCGGGACGTAAGTTGCATTTTTAGAACCGACATTTAATGGCGAGAAAGTCTCGTGAAGGACCGGAATCGATTTGACGCCATTTGGTTGGAGAAAAATGGCAAATTGTGCGTTTATGGTGTGTTTGGACTGTGACCGAATTTTTGTGATGAAATTAAGTGCATGGTTGTGTAATTGCCTGATTGAAATATGCCTGTTAGGTGCACGCGTGGGCCATACTGATTTAATTATTAAAATTGGCCTTGTCAAATGCTGAGTGAGCATGGGTCATGTGTAATTGATGCGTGCACGGGCCACGTGTGATTGGCCAGTTGTGTGTGGAAATTGCTTGTTGAGCATATGCCTGAGTAAGAAAGTGGATGTGGTTTGATATGAATTCGTGGAAATTGTGCCGTCCTGAGGCGTGTACGTTTACGCGGGACGATGCCCGGTATTACCGGAAGACTGCCAGCCTGAGGCGTGTACTTTAATGCAGGTTGCGTAGTAGGTGGTAGGTGTTGAGCCCGAGGCGTGTACGTTTACGCGGGCAAGAAACATGGCCCGAGGCGTGTACGTTTACGCGGCCCGGAAGTGTTGTGGAAAGAGGTCCCAGTGTACCTGAGGCGTGTACTGTAACGCGGGTCACTGGCGAGGCATGAGGAAACGAGATAGTGAGAACGGAATGAGTGCATGACATAAGAATTGTGCATGCTTGTGATCGTATGTGATGTGCCTGCTTTGGGATAATGGTGCATGTGATTATGTTTGTGAAATTGTCTGGAGGTACGTGATAGCCTAGGTGGGGTTTAGGGGTGAACTTGCTGAGAAGTGTTCTCATGGTTGTTTCAACCAATATTTTCAGAACCCCGACCTGAGCCATGAATCCTCCGCCACCGCCGCCAGAACGTTTTGGAGTACCTGTGCACACCGAGCTAGAAGTTTTAGAGTTTCCGATGGGTGATGGAATGACCTGGATTAAGCACACTACTACCATTTTCTTAGAAGTAGGTTTACCCCTTTGGGAGGAGCAGAAGTACACTGCCTGGTTCTTCCGGGATCAAGCCGGGGATGAGTTCGGGCCCGTTAGGGGTTTCGATGTTCCGTTTGATTTAGTTGGGGATTGGGACCCGACTGCCGTACCCCCGATTGATGGAGAGTTGACCAGTACGGAGGTTAGCGTAGCGCAATCTGGGATGCATCCAGCACCCGCCGCTCAGGGATCTTCGGAGGCTGAGTATGAGCCCGAGCCCGAAGCATCGCAAGCTGAGGATGACCCGATGGACATAGACTTAGAACCCATCCCCGAAGAGGAAACAGAGAAAGAGGAACCAGAGGAAGAAGAACCAGAGGAAGTAGAGCCCGAGGCAGAACCCGAGAACGAGTCGGAGGAGTCGGAAGAGCCTGTAGGAGACCCGGAGTATATACTCCCGTTTAAGGAATACATGGATCCCAATTACGTACCTGAGATCAATTTCTTTGATTTTCTAGCCGAGGAGTACCAGAATGCTATTCCAGCTGAGTCGGGTGACATTGATCATCCGATTGTGATTGAGGCGGAGCCGGAGTCTTCGGAGGAGCAAACGGATCAGGGGAGTTCAGACTCCGATGATGATGAGTCAGATTCTGAATGGACTCCGAGTAAGGGGCGAAAAGGATAGTGTAGGGGCGTAGAAGTTAGGCTTTTTGCGAGTACCATTTTTTAGGGTAGGATGCCAGGTCATCAATCCTTTTTGGATTTCGATGGTTTTAATACGGTGTGCACATGTATATTAAGGTTTGTAAGACTGTAAATATTATGGTATAAGTTCGAATGAGAAAAGAATATGTATATTCTCTCTCTTTTTTTCCCCAGTTTTATTTGTCCGGATTAATTGTGG